TTTCTATCTCTCTCTCCGTCTCCCTTCCTCTCTCTCTAAAATCAATAAAAAAATTTTTTTTTAAATATATAAAATAAAATACAACTATCCAGTAAATTCAGATTCTGTTTCCTCAGATCAAAGGATACTCTTCTCATCATACATCTAAAGAACAACAGGATGAGTTCTGAAACTTGGTAGTGTCTGCAGTTCGAACCAAAGGCTTCTGTGAGGATAAGGGAATTGAAAGTGCTATCGGGGATTTTGTTGTGGGTGATGACCCACTTGGGTGGTATTTCTAAAGAATTGGCTGGTGCTTCATTCAGGTCAGTAGACCTTAGTTCACGGCTGCCTTGCTGTGCATCAGAGGACAAACAGGAAGCTCAGACTGGGTTCATGCATTTTTTCCCCTCTCCTATAGGAACTATTCTGCTCCAGGCACACATTTATTTTCTGATTCAGGTAATTTTTAAAACATGTCCTCTTTTAAACATCCCCAAGCATTATTTGGGAATGTCTCCAAATTTTATCAAAGACACAAAAACATAATAAAATACGTAGAAATTAAACTTCATGGTGATTCACTAAGCATCCTTAACCCTCAACTAAACGTGTGGCTTACATTTAAATGGTGGTCATATGCCATCACTTAATGTAGATAGGATAAATAAAAAATAGAACAAGGGGTGAAAAGGTTCCACCTAAATCGTTATCTAAATAGGCAGGGACCAAGCTTATTTAGATACTCGTAAATCTGTTAACAAACAGAAGAGTAGCTGAATAGGTCTGCAGTGTAGTGGTTTTCCAAAACAAATCAACTCAGACAAACCAAAGAATTGAGAAAATGTAGACTGTGTAAATTGTCTTATACACCATGCCTAAAGAATTATGCCTCTGGAAAAGTATAATTTTATTTTTCTCTGTAAGAATGAAAGTCTTAGGTGGGAGTATCAAACTTCATGTCCCTCATCCCAAAGCCATCTGCGTCCCTGGCCCTCGACTCCTCTCCTGCCCTGTTAACAATGCAGCTCTGCTGTTTCCTTCTCTCCCGCAGCTCCCGGAATGACTGTGTCTTCTTTATCCTCTTCCTGACTCTTAATTAATTCCGGGCTGTTCCAGCTGTGCCTGTTCTGGTCTCCAACTTCGACAACCATTGACTGAATTGCCTGGTCAGTTCCATGAAAATTAACATGAGCCCAACAATCCAGTTGCTGATGGAATGGACCACAGATTTCTCAAGCTGCCTGGTGTGGGGGGGCCACAGATGCAGTCGCTGTGTTTTATTCAGAGCTTGTGCATTTCTATAAATGTAAGAAACGGCCTGCTTCCTGCCCACAGAGTAGCTGTCTAGTTCCATCACCTCGTTGTCTCAACACGTATAGTGAGTGAGATATGAAAGTGGAAGATTCTATATTAAAAGGCATCATCAAAGCACAAAAATGAGAGAAAAAATGAAAGTCTTAGCTATCAAGTAGAAAAGCAAATTTTTGAGAGGAAGTGTGCCAAGGTGTAGGGCACCACGCGGCAGTTTCTTGTCTGGGAGTTTTGTCCCAGCTCTGCCATTAACCAATTGAGTGACTTTACCTAAAGCTCTGTCCATTTTTACACTTAAAATGTTGAACACTGAGTGCAGATAAGAACACGTTGGATTGTTACTCTATTAAAGCATATTGTTTAGGTGCTAAAGTTTAAAGAATTTGCCTGCCAAGTCTCACCCAATACGACTTCTTCACTGAGCACCTGCTATGAGCTCTGCACACCAGGAGCTTGAGCACTTGGCAGCTGAGGTTCCCATGGAAACCAGTTCTACTTCAGGGGAGTTTTCCAATCTGGCTGCAAATTGGGGTTAGTGAGAGCAGCCTCCATCCTGCTAAGAAACAAAGCCAGCCTTTCATAGGAGCAGAAGCTGGTCCTTGGCCATACGTTTTTCCAACGTCCTCTATAAAAACCCCTTGTGGTGTTTGCTGGATGACCTCTCACCGACCTTTCCCTTGTATTCTAAATGCCATTCTCATGCCAAGCTTGATGAGAATTTTCTTTCTTTCTGCAATAGGAGGGTTGTCAGGTTGAGCTAATAAAAATACAGGACATCTGGTATTTAATTTGAATTTCAGAAAAACAACAAAGAGTTTTTAAATATATAATATTTGGGATATACTTACCTAAAAATAATCATTATTTAGCTGAAATTGAATAAAACGGGCATCTGTTGGCAAATCTTTAGAGACGCAAATGTCCTAATTTTCACATCCACTGGAATGTTTTTTTTTTTTTCTGTTTATACCTCATATCAGGAAAAAACGCTGCATAACCTGGAACTACTTTACTTGCCTAAAAAGAACATGCTCTCTCCCTCCCTCAGAGGTTATCAATAACATGTAATAGGTACACTTTTCATTAATGACTGTCTTGAGATCTGTCTTCTCTTCTCTGATGCATACAATTACTGCCTTCCAATCTTTACCTCTTGAGTTCTATCTCGGCCACCCCTTATCTCACTTTCTTAAATAAAATAAAACCCTTTATTTAACCACGAAATGTAAAGGACAGAACTCCCCAATTCTTTAGCTGTATGGGTTATGCAATCTCCTGAGTTCTGAATCTAATAATAGAACAGCCAGCCTGGACCTGCTCTTCCTGTTGCTGAGTGGCGTTTGCATGCAGGAAAGACGACCCCCACATTTCAGGTTAAATAGTTGGAGAAGACACTGCATTTCTCCTTTTTTGAGTTAACACAACATAGTAATCTAGGGGGTGGTTTGAGAATCAGCAACAACTACAGACTTCATTGCTCACTTTTGGAGGCCTCTATCCTGACTGTTGTCACTTCCTCTAAGTGTTTCCACCCACAGAAAGGCTGCGGTTCCTTTTTAGACTCTGACCAAGGTCCAGCCTCTGTCTACAGCAGAGTCTGTGTTGGAAGCGGCTGATGGACTCTGGGTTAGTTGGCTCACTCTCTGAGGGTCAACAGGGAACAAATTACACACAGGAAACAAAGTCCACAGAATGTATGACTGTTAAGGGTGGATTTATTTCTGATTAACTGCATAAGGAGACACAACAGGAAGGCATAATCGTAGGGCAGCGTTTGTACTGTCAGAGATAAGCATATTTAGCGTGTGGTAGGGTAAGCATATTTTTACTTCTTAAATGAAATAAGGTGCTTATAACTTGGCCACACACAAAGTTCAAAAATAAGCACAAAAAAGAACAGCCAGAAAGTGAACAGTGGCAGATATTGGGGTCCTAGACATGAAGGATGGAGGATACAGAATCCCGCTGAAGGTACTAAAATTAGGCTAGGCAGAAGGAACATTTTACAGACACTTACCAACAGTACATTAATTATACAAATCTCCCTGGATTGACCCACGACTCACACACAACATAGATCACACCTCTTGCAGGTTCGAGTCTCAACTACCCACGCCAACATTTAAGGTCCTTACCGTCTGCCCCGTGCCTCGGATCCCCAGCCTATCTCCTCAGATCTTTCTTACTTGCTGAGGGGTAGGGTCAACCAGGAGGTCACAGAGGCACAGAATCTGTGTTTCTGCTGCTGTCTCTTCTGTTATCTCAGATCATCTGCTGTCTACCCCATCCAGGCCAGCAGCATGGCCTCCTTGCTTCCCCAAACCACTCGTGGTGCCTCCCTCCCCAGCCTCTAGTTAAAGCCCTCTCCTCTGCTCTTTACACAGCCCCTCCCTCATCCACCCCATCTTGTCTGTCTTGTCCAAGCCTCTATTCTTGTTAGCTTTGACCTGAGTCTGGCAGGTGAATATGCGGGGACTCCGCTACTGAGCTGCCAACACTTAAGGGTAAGATTTGTCTTTCTTTTAATTCTCACCCAAGGATATGTTTATTGATTTGAGAGAGAGAGAGATGTGAGATAGAAACATCAATTTGTTGCCTCCGGCATGTGCCCTGACTTGGAATCAAATCTGCAACAATGACGTTCCAACCACCTGCGCCACCCAGCCAGGGCAAGGATCTGTTTTTTCTTTTTTTAACCTATTTTTCTACCTCCATCTTCTGGATTTGTTTAGAACCTGGAACAGAGTAGATCCTTAGTAAATGTTTGGTGTTGAACTAGGTAGGGGGATGGATAAATGGATGGATGAATGGATGGGTGAATGGATGGGTGAATGGGTAGATGGGTGGATGAATTGGTGGGTAGGTGGATGAAATGTGGACAATGACTGAGTGGTAGACATCCACACTGAACAGGAACCACCTCGAAGTTCTCCCTGGGCTAGGAAAGCAACAGAGCAGTAGAAAGAGCATGGCCAGAAAACAGAAGAGGGTTTTCACCCTAGCTTCTACATCACTGGCCGTGTGTCCTTGGCTGAGTCCCTGAACCCCTCCAGCACCAGATATCCTTCGCTTGTAAATTGGTGACAAGAACACTGTCTGTCTGAAGTCAGGGAGTTGGACTGGATGGTCTCTCAATGTCTTTTTTAGCTAATGCTCAGTTTGTTCTTCCCACATCTTTTCCAGGACAAGCCACGACAAGGAGGTTTTCTAGCGCAGAGCTTCTGGGGTGCTACATGGCACTGGCAAGGCAGCCTCTTGATGTTTCTGCACCTCAAAACACACTGAATTTTTGCCCAGTTTCTCTTATTTTTCATGGGCTGAACACATTGAACACACAGCCCAGTCTTTTGTCTTGTTCATCTCAGGAAGCAAAGCCCTCATTTACTGGAGGTTCCCCTGCACAGAGTAGAAGGATGTGTACTGCCAGCCTGGGCAGGCTGTTCAGCCTGTTCTCATTCCGTGAGAGGGAGGACTGAGTATGAAACTTGCTTTAACACCGAGACCTAGTGCATCAAAGCTTGCACATTTTACTAGAGAAGCAGAACTATTTTAAAAACGAGTAATTTTTGTGATACTAAGCATTAGCGAGACTGTGGACAATGTAAATTATTTCTCCACAGTTGGTTTCTGTTTGTCCAATAGTATCATAGGTCTGAACTTGAGAACCCACACCCTGTACCACTGTAGACTGACTTCCTCCTCCTTTCTCCCACTCAGGGTGGTAACCAGCATGTGTGTGGTACTTGTTAGTTTGTATGGGTGGGGACGATGGGGTGAGTAAAGAAAGAAGAAGCAGAACTAGAATTTAGTGGCAGCTTTGTGTGACCTCCGGAATTCAAAGAGGACCACCTCTCAGCAGGATGTTTCATGACTGATTTTGCTTTGGTGCTAACGCCCTTCCCCTACCCTGAGCTTCGGGTGCCTTTCAGTGCGTGGCTTTGTGACACCTGTTTTGGCCTCCCTTTGCCTCATTCCAGGCCCTGGTGAGGGTGTCAGGTAAGTGTTGTTTCCACGTTTGCTGTTGCCCCACAGTGTGTGTGCACGCCTCTCTCTGTGACATGACTGTGAGTCTGTGAGCTCGGCCCTGGCCGCCGGGGAAGAAGCTGATTCTCACATCTGCTTGGCAGCTCTCAGAACTGATGGCCCTCATACTCCTTAGAACAGCCTGCACCAAAGTCCCTTGGCAACTTGTGTTTGGTGCATTGAATTTAAACTTGCCTCAATGCATAAAGTTAGGGGGCTAAGTGGGGAAAAAATCCTGCACTTGTTTCCACTCACTGTCTCATGCAGTTTTCCCGGGTTGACTGAAGCAGATGAGTATTATAATTTCCTCCACTTTTCACATGAAGAATCTGAGACATAAAAAGCTGAGTAGGAGATTCAAGTCCTTTGATTCTGGCTTCTCTGTTTTTATCATTTATGTTTTCTCCTGGAGGTTTCCCATGACTGCAATTTAATTTCTTTTATGCAATAGATGAAAGTAATAATGTGTTTTCTGTAATCTTGTGTGTGCGTGTGTGTGGTAAAACAAGCACATGCTCTCTGTTTAACAAATATTTCAAACCTTCAGAAGAATGTATGTGGAGATGGCTGCAGTGGCCGCCCTCTCCAAACTATTTCTGAGGTAACCACTCAGCAAAGAGTCTGGGGCCCAACCCCAGTATTTATTGTAGATATTAAATTCTTGATGTTTTCTGTCTCTCATCAAATGTCTGCCTCAGGCCTGCCTTTTCTTCACTCTGATTCTTCAGCGTATTCCACAGTGTGTCCTGAGAGGCACACAGGGCCGGGTATTCAACCCATCCTTTTGGTGCCATCACAAGAGCCTGCTTAGTACTGAACAGGAAAGGAGAGAGGGGCAGACTGAGTAACGTAGGCCATTCGTGCAGCTTCGCCAGGGAGCTGCAGTGCAACACTCCAGGTCCGTCCCCTGCGTGGGGGAAAGAACTGCACAGAGCAGGTTAGAACCATGCCCAGCGAGGTCTGAGTGATGTGGGAGGTGCCTACCTGCCCATCACACCTGGAGTGAGTCACTGGCCAGAATAGGCGCGGTCACTGCACGTGTGTGAAACCTGAATATATTCTTTAATTAATTAATTAATTTTTGTTACAGACGTTTCTCCTTTCCCCTCAATGACAGCCCCCTCTCCTGATCCTGCCCCCATAGCATTGTCTGTGTCCACTGAATGAAACTGAAACCTGAATATTTAATCTAGACAAAGAAAAGCTCTTGCTTTGTTTCTCTCCCTCCCTTGCGGCCTGTGCCAGACTGCTTGTGGGGCTCCCATGCCCTGCATTCACCCATGTGGTGCACAGCCATGTAGGACCCATGCAATGGATAATGGACTGAATCTAGCCTAATGCCTGATGCCTGGTCTGGACCTGGCTGCATCACAGGCGGATACTCAGGACTCTGGCCCTATTTCTGCCTTTACTAAATCCACAGCTGCCCCTCTTTCAGAACTGGGCTGAGGGAACTGGGACGCTACAAACTCAGAAATATAACTCCATGCCTAGAAAAACCCTTCATTCTCCCATGGGGCCTTCTGAATACTTGTTCTGGCTGCGCCCCAAGAACCTGCCCACGAGTCCCAGAGCAATCTGGCCCCTCATCCCTCTGGCAACACTTCACTGTTTCTCATTTATTTCAGGAATTGTCCCTGTTTTCCTGAGGATTTTTTCCTTTTTAATCATGGAGTGTTTTTGCTTGGGGAGTGGGTAGAGGTGGACAGAAGAGTGAAAAAGTGAAAAGGAAAATCACCTTGTCAGAATAAGTGAATTTTTCTACAGAGAATAATTCCCTCAGGCTGTGACCTTTAGGTGGCCTGCTGTGAGATTTTGCCGCAACCCAAATCATTATTTCAAGCAAGGTGCACCAGGATTTAACTTTCTGGCCTTCAGTGAAGGATTTGTTGTGGTAGCTTAGTGTTTTTATTAATTAAGTGGAAGCTGGGATTCTATATAAATGCAAATTGTCACCCGCTTCTACCCACCCACAGAGTCCTTCTCAGGCATAGAAATGGGTAATAGCCCAGAAAAGTGAGGTGGGTTAGACTCACTGGCTGGCTGTGACGTCATCTGAATCTCCTCTCTCAGAGATGGGGGGCATGCTCATGCAAATGGCATGGGCACTCTCCAGCACTTGAAAATGTAATCGCCTGAGGTGGCGACTCAGCCTTGACCCAGAGGTGGGCAGTACAGTACTAATGCAATAGGAACACAGGGTGCTAATAAAACATCTTTCAGATTAGAAGGGGGAAATGTCAGCAAAGTGCTGATCTGTGTAGATACAAAGGAGCATTTACCTTGTATACAATTCTGACTTCACACTTACCAGTAATTGATGTTTATTTTCCACAAAAGACAGTGTGGGTAGGAAAGGGAAGACTGTGAGGGTGACAGGAACTGCTCACCCCAGAAAGCTTGCCAGGCGGGCAGGAAGAACCGGGCTTGGTGGTCACACACGCCTGGCCTGTCATGGACTGCTTGTGAGAACCTGGACGTGAAACCTGAGGCTGGGCCCCTGGGTGTCGGTAGACATGAGGTTGGCCTCACAGGAAGGCACAGGGAGCACAGGATGTGCTGCACATTCCTTCTTCAGTACACACAACAAATACCCCGCAAGACAGGACTGTGACTTGATCCCCTCTACGGTTTACAATTTCTTTGCTTTTGACACTTTTCTCCCAGAACCTGCAGAGGGCAGCAGAATGCTTTGGTCGGCGGTCCCTTCTTCCTACCTCCTGTCTGCTGGAATTACCATCATATGCTGAGGGCACAGAGCCACAGGCCCCTGAGACTTTTTGGGAACCCATGAAAATGTTTTAATTTCTTTAAAATCAAAAGAAAAATCACATTTAATGAATATGTAACAATTTGTCTTGTCTATATTGTTAATCTTTATATCAGCACAATCATCAAATATAATTTCTGATATTTTTATAGAGGAAGAAGCCTTGAGCTCCTGAAAGTCGTAAATGTAGCCTTGCAGGTTCTGGAATTCACTATAGAGAGCCAGTGCGCAGCCTGGGCTCCCTATTGGCAAAAGGTCAGAGGGCCTGAGCCACCTAAGTCCATGTAGGATTGAGGAGATATTCTGTTTTTTGTTTTTTGTTTTTAATTAATTAATTTATTTTTGTTACAGATGTTTCTCATCTTTCCCCCACTGATTCCCCCTACCTCTCCCTCCCCGTCCACAGCTTTGTTGTCCATGTTCATTGTTCATGCATACATCCATATAAGTTCTGTGGTTTATCTCTTCCCCACAACCCCCTCTTCTGGGGATTGTCAGTCTGTACCCCTCTTCCACGTCTCTGGAACTACCCCACTCCTCAGACTGTTATGTTCATTATATTCCACAAATAAGTGAGATCATATGATACTTGTCTTTCTCTGTTTGGTTGTTCGCTTAGGATGATATTTTCCAGGTCCCTCCATGTCCTCTCCAAGGATAAAAGGTGTTTCTTTCTTACAGCTGCATAGTACTCCACTGTGTATATGTACCACAGCGTTGTTATTCATTCGTCTACTGATGGACATTGGGGTTGTTTCCAGATCTTAGCTATTGTAAATAGTGCTGCTATGAACATGGGGGTACGTAAATTCTTTCTGAGTGGTGTTTCAGGCTTCTTAGGGTATATTCCTAGAAGAAGGATCACTGGATCAAATGGAAGTTCAATTTTTAATTTTCTGAGGTAACACCATATTTTCCATAGTGGCTGCACCAGTCTGCATTCCCACCAGCAGTGTACTAGAGTCCCCTTTTCTCCACACCCTCGCCAACACTTGTTTGGTGATTTGTTGATGGCGGCCATTCTGACAGGTGTGAGGTGATACCTCATTGTTGTTTTAATTTGCATCTCTCTGATGATTAGTGATGTTGAGCATTTCTTCATATGTCTCTTGGCCATTGTATGTCCTGTTTGGAGAGGTGTCTATTTAGTTCCTCTGCCCATTTTTAATTGGGTTCTTTGCCTTCCTTTTGTTGAGTTGTATGAGCACTCTATATACATTAGAAATTAACCCCTTATCTGATTATCATTGGCATATGCTCTCCTATACCATGGGTTGCCTTTCCATTTTGATGATTGTCTCTTTTGCTGTGCAGAAGCTTTTGAGTTTGATGTAGTCCCATGTGTTCATTTTCTTCTTTGTTTCTGTTGCCTTAGGTGATGTATCCATTAAAATTCTGCTGTGTATGATGTCTGAAATTTTGTTGCCTACAGTTTCTTCTGATTTTTATGGATTCATGAGTCACATTTAAGTCTTTATCCATTTCGAGTTTATTCTTGTGTATGGTGTAAGTTGATGGTCTAGTTTCATTTTTTTGCATGTAGCTGTCCAATTTTCCCAACACCATTTACTAAAGAGGCTGTCTTTCCTCCACTGTATGCTCTTGCCATCTTTGTCAAATATTAATTGAGCATATTGCCTTGGGTCCATTTCTGGGTTCTCTGTTCTGTTCCACTGGCCTATATGCCTGTTCCTATGCCAGTACCAGGCTGTTTTGATGACAGTGGCTTTGTAGTATAACCTGAAATCTGGTAATGTGATCCCTCCAACTTTGCTCTTCTTTTTCAAGATTGCTGTTGCTATTCAAGGTTTTTTTTGGTTCCATATGAACTTTTGAAGTATTTTTTCTAGTTCTGTGAAGTATGCTGTTGGTATTTTGATGGGGATTACATTGAATCTATAAATTGCTTTGGGTAGTATGGACATTTTAATGATGTTAATTCTTCCAATCCATGAACAAGGTATGTGCTTCCACTTTTTTATATCTTCCTCTATTTCTTTTTTCAATGTCCTGTAGTTTTCTGGGAATAGGTCCTTTATTTTTTTGGTTAAGTTTATTCTTAGGTATCTTAATTTTTTTGCCACAATAGTAAATGGTATTGTTTTCTTAGTTTCTCTTTCTGTGAGTTCATCATTGGTGTATTAGAATGCCATCAATTTCTTGACATTAATTTTGTCTCCTGCTTTTGCCAAATTCATTTATT